AGAGGGCATTCTTGTACTATCCACTGTTTCCCTTCCAGCTCTGTCTTTCGTAAAGCATGTCTCCGAGTTGGTTGAATTGTACACTGAGATGGCAAAACTGCAAGTCAGGATCTAAATGTGTGTTCCACACTTCCTTCCCAGGTTGTAGGTACTTGATCATGAAGGCCACTTTGGGAATACTACATTTCACTTTCTGCATTGAGTTTTTTAGTAGGATGGGCTCATCTTTTACTGAGATTCAGGCCACAATCAGATGGACGTGCAAAGGAGGCAAAAGTCTAGAAAAGGGGATCCCCTTATGATCATGAACAGCTCGAAGATTTGCAGCTTTAGGAACATTGCTATGCCAGCTTTCTTTCACAAGGCTTGCTGTATGAAGAGTATCTGTGTTTGGGCAGAACTTGATGAGTTGTGAAAGTTTCTGGAAAATGTGATTGAGAATACTTTCTCATATATTGAATATGAGAATTCATAGAATCTACAACATGGAAGTTAGTGTCTTCCTTGGGTTTGGAGACAGCCTACCCTAAGAACATGCTCTTATCTCATAGTATATGCAAGCAAGCACTTTTAAACCAGCTTGCCATTTGCTGTGGGATGCGGGTGTCATTAAGGCATTATTGAGTAGCTGAAATACTTCAGTTTTAAACCTAAACTTGTCTCTGGTGGTATGTTCAGCAATACATACCTGCCATTGACAGAATTTGATTGTTCAATGTAATTTTAAAACTATCGTGTATATTTTATTTCTAGGCCAAAGCCATTGCATGAAATTCCAGCCTTCTACTGCCCTGACAAGAACAAAGTGAATTTCATTCCTAAAAGCGGCTCTGCTTTCTGTCTCGTCAGCATCCTCAAGCCTCTCCTTCCCACACAGGATCTGACACTTAAGGGCACTACACACAGCCTGACTGTCTCCTCTGGCATGACACCCAGTTTGTTACAGCCCATTTCTATGGCCTCCTTGTCTACAAACTCAGATCAAGAAAGGATCTCTCGTGGAACAAGTACAGTAATACCACAGACTTCTATACTCCAGCAATCAGGTCATATTGAGGAAGCTGAAGGATAGATTTAGATTGTCTTGACATTTTTCTGGGCAACTACTGGGAAAAAAAAAGTGGAACCAGTTGACTGGACCTTTCTGATCACACTATTGCATTGTTTTAACAGTTTATGGCACTGAACTGTTTGTATAATTGACAGTTTGGTAGCACATTGAGAAATTCAGGAGGATGCAGCAGCTGATACTCTGTTGCACTTTCTGCTTATGGAGACTCTGGTTCTGTTTCTCTCCTGCTTTTTTTAAACACTGGTGAAAACAAAGACTGTCATAATCCTTTGCCGTTTAAAGGACCAGTTGTTGTAATGTGTGTCCTTTGACTTTTTTTCCCATTAAAACAGAACTCTCAAGACCAACCAGCTGATCCCATTTAGCATTGTAATCTGCAGAGGGAGGGGCAATCAGATGGTTTTGCAAGATGTCTTTTGTATGAAAATGTGTATTTTGTAACATAAATTTGCCTTTTCTCGTGCGTAGCAGATGCTGTTTAGAAGACACTTGCTCTGCCCCTGGCTTTTGTTTTGTAGGGAAGGTTCTTTTTTATTTGGCTGTTCTACAGCTGCTGGGACCAAAGGATTGCTGAAGTATTTCAGCGGTCTCAAATTATGTGACCTTGCTGAACAGCCTCAGCCCTAAACAAAATAAGACAAGTTTATGGGTTTGAAACTTTTAAACAGAAGAGTATCTAAAAAGCAGTGTTAGTATACAATGTACTTTTTTTGATATTGTAAGCTTGTGCTTCAGCTAAGTCACATTCTCAAACTCCTTCCTGCACAGAATTCCCAACAGTGTTGGTTTATTGTCTGGAAAAATGCATTTTAAAGCACTTGCCCCTGTAGTATTCTATTTGTCCATATGATTTTTGTGCAGGGGTGGGGAAAAAACATGTTATCATCTTGCTTGATATTCTTTCTTCCAGAAAATATGCCACTTGCCTCTTACAGGCTTGCTTGGCTACTTATGGAGTTAGTCAGCCTGATTCATTAATCACTCTTGGTACAAATTTGCCCTGACGTGACTCATCACTGTATTATAGACCCTGGCCACGTAATACTGAAATATCTGTGCATGATTTCCTCCTTTTTGTCATAGTGGTGTTTTATGTGTCCATTGAAGGTGATGGTTTGTCAGGCGTGGTATCTGTTACACAGAAGTTTACACCAGCAGATACATTCTCCCTTTTTGACTAGCAACTTAGGCTGGCATGTAAAACAGAGGATGTTTTTGGTACCTGGTCTGTCCTGATACGCAGCAGTTTGTGGTTTCTTTGAAATGCTAATAAAAGATTAAAATTATAACAAAAGATTAAAATGGGGGGGGGAAAGCAATTGCCAATGGAAACTGTTCAGAAATTTCAGGGATGTTTCTCATGTGTTCCTCAAGTGTATTACTTGGGCTTGACTAAATACAATATAGATATGCAAAAAACTGCATTGGCCTGAATACTGGTATCATATCGGCTTATAAAACAAGTTGATCTTGTACCTCTTTGACAGAGTTAGATTCAGTAATTTCAAAGTATGTGTCATTGTGGACAGTCTCTGGGTCTGAATACTGGTCTGTTACATGTGAGCAGTTCTCACTGGCTTGCACGTACATAGCTTCCATGGATCAGTTGCATACTCAGGTCCTCTCATAACTGGATCTATTTAAAGGTGATACTGCAAACACAACAATTTTGTTCAGTGCTTAATATGCTAAATTTGGTTGCAAACATTTCACTTGGGAGAAAAAAGAACCTGCATACCTGTGCAGGTACTAGTCATAGTTTTGATGTACATTTACTATTCCTTTAAATCCTACACAAATATGATAGCAATGTACTTTACTCTGCAAATAAGTGTCAATCACCTTAGCATGCACAAGTCCTGTGCTCATAGTATAATGAGCCCCTTTTTAAAACATAATGCAAAAATTCAGCAAATGAAAAATGTAGCGGGAAGTATTAAAATATTAGACCTGTTAAATTAGCCAATAACCAGAGTTTGGTTTACTGTCTTTCTTCCCATCAAAGTAGATAGGATTGTGCAGATGGGACTGAAGAGCTCTGTTTTGAAGTAACAGCTCTGATTTACACTGAAGAAGTTATTGAGGGACAGTTTTATAATGAGTGATTTTGTGCATCACACTTGTGTAATTTGGCCAGATAATTATTTTCTAGGTTTTATGGATATTGATTAGTTTCTTCTGAAACAGTTACAGTGCAATTTGAAGTCTAAAATGTGCTGCTTTAGATAGGTTTGTTTAAACTTGGTGTGACTGGATTCATGGAAGATGAGATCATTTAGAAGACAGACTTACAAGCACTTCCTTCACCTATTTCTGTAACAGTAGCACGTAAAGAGCTTCTCCATCAATGCCAAACTGCCTAGTGCTTTATCAGGAGATCTTAACTGAATGGTTAAGAACCAAAGGGCTAAAGTTAACAAATAGCCTTTATTACAGCCTTGAGACTTATCTGACTTCACCAAAACTGCATACTGGTGTTTTCATCACAGAGTGACTCTCCCAAATAGCAGTGGGCTTTCTTACCTTAGGACTTTCTTTGCACCTGTTGTTTTATTACTTGAGCATCTCTTTGGTACTTTACGTTGTATGTTATTCCACAATGTACTGTACAAATTAGTGAGCTGCTCTGATAAAAACCAAATGTAAATGTGTGAGTTTTTTGCTTTTTATAAAAACAAACTGCATTCAGGACAACATTCAGTCTTTTTTATATGCAGGACAACTCTATATTGCTGAGGCAGCTCCACTTTATTACAAATCCACACTAAAAACTCAGAATTAAGAAAAATATAACAGCTCCTGTTCTGAGACCAGCTTTTTCATGTGTGCATACAAAAATTAGCCTTAAACTTTTTATGTGCTGTCTTGTGCCATAGCAGAGCTGATAGATAAAGTATTTAAATCAATTTCAAAATGGCTTTGAGATTGCATGGAGCTTTTAAAAAATTGTTTAATGTATAGAGTGGGATAATCAGTTTTTGGGGGGGTTGACCCATGCATTACTCAAGCACAGTTTTACTGAAAGGGTTCAAGTTCTTTTGGCATACTTTAAATCCTAACTATGCATAAACCTGGTCAGTTCCTTGATTGTCTACTTTGTAGCTTAAACGTCTATTTTTATGCACAAGTCGACACACTTGATACTCTTGTTTTCTTGGTATTTTACGCTTCTAGCCACACTTAAAGGCTGGTGGCCGTGTTCAGTAACACTGACAGTTGACTTTGAGATATGCTAAACGGTGTTCCTCCAGTTGTAAATTCTACAGAAGTCACAAAGAAGGAGGCTGTCATTGTAATGAATGTCTGTGGTGGCAGCTATGACTGTTGGAGTATTTTTTTTTTTTTTAAACTCAAGGCACGAGGGAAGTGGACTTCTTTGAATTTTGACCTGCTTCAGCTATTCTTCCCTTGCTTGGTGCCATAATCTTGTAGAAACAAATGTAAGTACTTGGAAAACTAACAGATAATGCTTGAGTACATATATCTTGGAAATAAATTCTTGGTTGCACATACCCAAGTGAGGAAAAAAGGGACTGAAAATTAAATATTGCATACTGTGGAAGTGATTGCTGTGTTTGATTTACATAATGCAATAAATAGCGGCTCTTAAAAATGATGTGTAGTCTCAGGGCTATTTTTTGGTTCTAAAATACAATTTACTGGAATTCAAAATCTGAGACTGTTGAAAGACACTGAGGCTGAGCCTTTTGAGAAGAAAAAAGTCATATCTGTTAACCTTTCATCTGTCTCAGGCCTCACTTCTTGTTGCTTATTCAGTTTATTAGGATTCAGTGGTACAACAATAATTCCTTGCTGAAGTAGTATCTGTTCTCTCCCTGCCATCTCTGAAATGCTAACTGATGTGTTCACAGCAACTCAGTGGCAGCATAGTCTGTATTTCCTTGCTGAATGTTTCCTTGCTGAGTACCTGACAGCTTCTCTGTGGAACTGAAAGGGTGAAGGAGATTGCACAGAAAGTCACCAGAGACTTGCAGTTACAAAGATCAGTGCTGCAGGGTGACTCCTTAGGTATCTTGATTTTCATTTGACTCATTGTGTGCATGCGCACATACAGTCTGCATAGCTCTGCTGCTTTTATCTTTATAGTTTGAGGCAGGACTGGTATTTGTAAGATTTTTTTTTTTTATGGACAGACTTGCAGACCTATTCTCATCCAGAACTGATATGTGCTTATGCATATCTCCAAAGCAAAGCTTGTATGTCATTCTTACTTGTTCTCATGAAGTGAATGTAACCTGCAAGAAAGACCCTTGATATAAAAGCATCCAAACACTTGAGAATGTCAGAACCATGCTTTCTAAGTGTGTGTCCTTCATCAAATGTCATAGCCTAAAGTTGTCGTTATGGCTTAGGCGGTTGGCATGTATTAAAACAAAAATATTTGCTCTTAGAAAAGGTAGTAGAAGATATGCCTTTCCTAACTTAGGGAGGTGAAAAGCACTGTGGAAGAATTGGTTTAATGATCAAAGGGTTCTTAAGGAATTGTTTTTCTAAACGTGGGTACACAGGAAAACAAAATGACCACTTATTGCAAGATACACCTGTATATTTTCTTGACATGAGTTTTTGAGTGTTCAAGAAATGTGGAAATCGGTTCTGCTCTTAGCATTTTGTTTATACAAAGAATGACCTAGATGCATTGTTTTGAAACTGTTACTTGGTGTGTCAAGTCAAGTGGGGAGAGAATGTTAACTATTCACAAGTGTGTTGTGAAATTCCAGTCCTGTACCCTAACTGAACTGCAACAGTATCTTTCTGTATGCTACAAATGTAAATGGGTCATGTTACTGCTTGCTTGATTTCATTGTACGTCATCAGTAAATACTTAAGGCATGGTCTTTGTTTGATAGTTCTTCATTGGGATTTGTATTTGACTACAGAGACTTCTGTAGTGTTGACAGGTCTATCTGAATTTCAGAAATGGACTTGGCCTGATAACACTGCAAGCTAGCATTTCTTACACAGATTCGTTTTGAAACAACTCTTTGGAAAGTCTACTAAGCTAAAAAAATTGAAAAACCTTTCTGGACACCTCATCCACCCTAATTGTCAATGTACTGATAGTTAAAGAAGAATATTGCTTGGCTTTATTCTAGATTATTTCATTTATTGAAATGTGCAATTTTTCAGGGTAGCAGTCAAGGGATGTCCAAAATTGCCATTAGATTTGCCTTTGTATGAAATGGGCTGATATGTTGTCCTCTGTT